TGAAGCCTCTCTTGCTGTAAACCCTTTCTTTGTTGCATAATTTTTGAAACTGTGCCACTTGTCGTCGTACAAGTTACGAGTTGAGTAGCGTAAGGCAAAGCGTGACTGCTTTTGCGCCCTGGCAGAATATCCTCTCTTGTTTAAACACATTTGTATACAGTCCATACGTGTAGTTGGAACATTGCTGGGTTTCCGTGCACTTGTTTGGTGTGAGGATGAATTAACAGGTTTCTTGGCGGCAGGTAGCTCCAGTGTTGGTTGACCGATTTCTTGAATTAGTATGGGAAACCACGTTCTGGCCGGCCAGTAGAGTAGCGACCAAAGTGAGTTATGAGGCTCTGTGTTTGTCTGATTTTCTGTAATGCTTGAGGTATTATTGCTGGCGGTGGAATGCGCGTGCGCGTGAGCCTTCCATGATAGACTTAGGCGTCCGTTGCCCAAGCTTGGGGTCTGGGACTGGTGACACGAATGTCGGTAGCTGATTGTTGAATCGGCGTGGCGAATAGGTCTATTAGCGGCGCTCCTAATTGCTTGATTATCTGTGCAAAATTTCCGGTTGATCATCCACTCTGTCGGTGATGGTAGATGAGGCCGAGAAGGCGTCTGCTAGTATATTTCTGGCTCGGGAATGTGCACTGCTTTGACATGTAGATTTAGATCTTGTATTAAATCGAACAGTTGAAAGCTTAGGTTCAAAAGGTTCATCGATCTCGTTGAGCCTTGCTTGTTTATGTAGAGCGCCACTGTCGAATTGTCTGTATGGATCATTGGTAGCGCATTTTGTAGAAATGTGCTCCAATGTAGAATGGCGTTGATTACAGCTTTCATTTCTAGACTGTTTATATGGGTTTGCATTCTTGCTGATTCCATAACCCTGATATCGTGTGGTTGGTGAGATGAGCTCCCCAACCTTGGGTAACAGCGTCTACATACAGATGGGTTTTGTATTCCTGCTCTGCTAAACAAATCCCTTCGCAGACATTCGATTTCTTGGTCCACCATAGTAGATGTGGTCTGAGATGTTTCGGTAGACTGAATGGTTGTACATCGTTGAGATGTCGTTGATGATGAGACCTGTAGGGGGCGTAACTGTAATCTGCCTGTGACAGTCATGTCTTGGGCTGATGTGAGAAGACCTAGTAGGCTCTGCCATTGTCGCGAGTGGTAGCGGAGAGAGTAGAGCTGGTGGAATGGTCTGTTGTATCTTGAGCCAGCGGTCTTCTGGTACCATATCACGGTTCGCGATTTGTGATGAATCGAATACCTAGGAACTGTAGGTCTTGCGATGGTACTAGGTCCGACTTGCGTAAGTTTACTAACCAACCTAGTTGTGTTAGTAGCTTTATGATAATAATTTAACTGTAGTTTGAGGGCGCGGTGGATCTTGATCTACTTGTATCCCGTCGTCGAGGTAAAAGCGCGCTCGTAGCCCTTAGCGATGTAGAAATTTGATAATCGGTTTCGTTATCCTCGTGAATAGCCAGGGGCTGATGATATTCGAATGGGAGTACTTTCCACTGGTAATGTAGCCCTTCTAGAGTAAATCGTAGGTATTTCCTGGAATCGGGATGAATGGGGATGTGCAAGTAGGCATCCTGTAGATCTATGCTGCCCATGTAGTCCATAGGGCCGAATCATCTGGCGTAACTGAGGGTAAATGTATCATCTGCGAACCCGGTGGTTTTGCGTAGATAGTTCTTGTTGAAAAAGCTCATGTTGTAGATGAGTCTGTATTTCTCCGTGGAGTTTTCTTGGGAACTAGGAAAACTGGGGAGTAGAAACCTGGTTCGGCGTTTGCTTGATCTATTACTTCTATGGCCTGTTTGGATAGGAGTGATGAGACAGCCTCTTTATCTTTGGTAGTTATTTAAGCTTGTAAATCGAACTTGGGGGTTTGATTGTCCAATGGCGGAGGCTTGTCCTGTAGGGATCTGAGAAATCCGTGTTGAATAATGTTGGAGGCGTAAGGATCTTGCAGTATTCCCCAGTTTTCCCAGTGTAGTTGGGCGTCCACCCACTTGAGCTGGTTGTACTGGAGCGGCTGGGGTGGAAGACTCCAGTGGTTCGAACCTGTGTTTCAGCGTCTATAATTGCGGGAACCTCTGGGTGTCCTGCCTCTTCCTGATCCTCCTCTATAGTTGCCATATGGGCGACGAAAAGAATCTTTACCTCTAGAGCTGGCTATCTTCCTGTCTCTTGCTCTTTGTAGGCCCGTGAACTTAGATCTGCCTGAGTATCTTTGTGAAGTCTGACGAATGGCTGGCTAGTGTGTCCATCGATCTAATCATAAGGACTTCCCTGGAATCCTTAGAGACTTCCTTGGCGACCTTGTCGATTTCTCCGTCAAAGATGGATGTTGTCGACCACGGGGCTGTATAAAGTGGGGCTGTAAAGTTCTCCCCCCAATTACAGGAGGCGAGGAGGCCTTGGCTGACGAGCTAAGGTCAGTGCTGCTGAAACAGATGTAAGATGATCCGTTAAAACTGCTGATCTTTCTTTTGCATAAGTAAGGCAGAATAAATCATTCTATCATCTTTCGTCGTGGAATCGGAATCTAGTAATAAGAGTCTCATTGATGCGTCCTAGATCTATTTAACCCAAAGAACATCGTCTCGTCATGGTTTCTATATGAGCCAACTTGCGATCATCCATCTTGTAAATCTTGTTCTTTACATGGCTGATGATCTTATAGTTCTCATCGATGTCCTGGGCCTTGTAGAAGGAGTCCATGTTATCGCGTGGAGAACTTCTTGGCTTGAAAGTTGGGTAGATGTGGTATCTGAACTTTAAGTAGCTTTCTGGAAAGCTGCATCTAGATTCTGTGGCACTGCGCATGTCGGGTCGATCGAGGGGTAGAGTGATTGCATCTGGATCATCTTCCTTCATCAAATCGTCTGAGCTGTATTGCCACTTTTAGATGGTGATGTGAGATCTAGGTTATTGACCATCCAATACCGTATCTCTGCATCAGAAAATATGATTCCTCCATCATCCTCAAAACCATCATCATTAATAAATTGTAGATGCTCTTCGGGACTGCGTGTAGCTGTCTGAATATCTGATGAGGTTTGTGGCGATCTAGTTGACTTGTGCGCGCTCTATGTGGAGATCTGATGGGTGATCGACCTGGTGATGAAGCGGGTGGAGATGCGTCTATGGGATGATCTTCGGAGACTTGTGAGGTGAATGTTGATAGCTTAGCGAAGCTCTTGGCAGTCCCTCGATGTTCTTCTAGGCGATGAAGATCTGGAATCATATGTCTTTCGCGAATGCCTTCAGCGAAGCTTCATTTCGCGTCGGTCGGGGGATCGATGATATGACCTTCAGCGAAGGCTTCCGTGATGTCTGATGGTCTGAGTCCATATCTAGAGATGAAATCGAAGATGGTGATGATCTCTCCCGCCAGCGAAGGCCTTAGCGAAGGCTGTACATCTAGGTCCGCCGTCAAAGGTGGTGCGGGACTTTCTTCAGCGAAGGTGACATCGTCTTGGCTGCTCTCGTTGGTGGGGGTGCCTCTGGGGTGCTGTCACGTTGGAGCCGCCAGCGAAGGCTTCGGACCCTGCTTAGCGCGCAGTTTGTAGTGGTCCTCCATGATGTTCATAATCTGCCGCATCATGTCTTCTGGGATGATCTGTGGCCGAAGTCGTCGGCGTCTTTTCTGCGATGGGGTTCACATCAATGGCGTCTGGCGTCGGTGTAGAGAGCATCAGGCTGCATGGAGATCTCTGCAGAAGTCACAGTCGCTGACACGGTCGCTTCTTCTGCCGTAAGTCGGGGATGATTATCGGCTGATCATCGTAGAGGCCCAACTCTGCTGCTGGAGCGATCTCGGCTGAGAAAGTTCTTGCTGTCTTCGTAGATTTCCCTTTGGAAGTCTGCGCTGCCCTGGGTGTCCTCAATCTGCGTTGAGGCGGCGATAGGAGCCCTCTTAGACTTAGTCTGCAATGGCGGGATGTCTGGGAGGCGGTCGTTTCTTGAGGTAGCGGACTCGTCCCCGTTCCTCTGCGCGGGGTCTCTAGCAGAACACCAGGCGGAGAGGGTCGATCGCTAGCAGCTGACTGGAAGGAATATCTGGACTCTCTGCCATGTTTTGCCCTTGTTTTGCGTGATCTATCTGCAGCCGCGTCTTAAAAGGCGCAAAGATGATATTTATTAAATGCAGAATGAGATAAATTAATGCAGTAACTGCAAGCGTGATTTAAAGCTTGCCTGCAGTAGAACAACTAGGGCATATTACATGTGGATGGAGGCAGAAAAGCGTAATCTACAAATCGTACAGATTTTCATGAGCGTAAAGCTAGCTGAACAATCACGAATACGTGAATAAACAGTAGAAATCGATAATTAATCAATACAAATAGTAAAGGATACTAGCTATACCTCTATAGTAACCTATGAGGAGGTAAAAACTAAGAGATTATCAAAGGATATGTGTGTAAGGAGACACAAAGGCTCTCACATCCTGCTCACTGGTGAAGAAGGAGAGAGTGAAGCACATGGCCAGAGGGTGGCGACACCTTTTTCCGCCAGGGGAGACAAAGGGGAGCAACTTCGTGGTGAGTACCAATTAGTGATTTTATTTTGAAGGGGGCTTCAAATAAGGAGATACAAGTGTTCCACTATGTTAAGCAAGAAGAAGAAGACAAGCAAAAGAGCATGAGTCAGGATAAGGAAAATTCCATGTCAACATCTTTTAGTATCTGGAACATACAGCACTGCATCGAAACAAACTTCCGGGTCAACAAGTTCTGATAAATACTGAACAATTACAGTCCATATTGATGTGAACTTTAGCAGTATCAGTTGCAAACTTGATTAGCCCGTTTAATCACCGCACGCCGTGTTCACACCTTGTCGAGTTGGTACCACGGTGATTGATTTAATTAGGGTCAAGCAGTCTTCACTCAATACCACGCCGAGCACACCCGTCTCACGTAGGAGAGACAATAGGCCATTTCGTTTACATATGATTTGGTCTTTAAAGTATCATCTCAAGTTACCTGTGCCTGTTTGATAGCCTGATGTTGATGCAGCTTGTCTAGGAACCATTTCCTGGAATACAATAATAGAAAAATATGGATCATTTAAGTTTATGTTAAGACTTGGTAACTACATATAACTTCAATGAAACTTTGACAAGGTTCAGAAATATAGACGGAAATAGTGAATTTTGCTGTTGCATTCCATCCCAGTGAAAATTTTGAACAGTTTTGAGATAATGACACAATGATATTATATTACACTGGAAAACTATGATTTTGTATGTTTGTTATTAAACATCACACTTAATATTCCAGCGTGTTGGCAGCAGTCTGGAACCGACAATCCAGTGGTCAACATCATGAGCATCGATCTACACCATTGACATACGGTGAAATGTGTCAACCAAGTCAGCAAGCCTGACATCCCATTAATCGCCTCTTACGAGAGGCATGGGTTGCTGAAGATCGATTCTAACCCAGATCTTCACGGGTGGAATGTTGCCCTAAAATTAAATGATGTTACCCTGGAATAATATGGTGTAACATTGGAGTCATATGATGTTACACTGAAATGATATGATATTAACATGGAATGGAAACATATGATGTTTTTAAAGAAATAGATGGCGTTACGGTGGAATTATGTCATGATACACTGGAAAACATCATGTTTCAGTAATAGCTAACACTAATGTGGTATCAATTCCACCAAGGTGAATGATCCAGTAACTTTGCAATATTGTGATTGAGTAAAAAAGAGATACACATGAATACAAGTATTGCCCAAAGTGAAAAGTTTGGCAGATTTCCATAATCTAAATTGGTATTGCTTCTTTTAACAAGGTTCAACATTTCAGTCTGTAGCAGATACTTCTGTTCATAACGTAATGTAAGTAGATCATAACGTAAGTATTAAATTTCCACTATTAAAGGGTTGATGAGGGAAGGATTTTCCTGCTTCATGGTCTTAGGTGGGCTGAGCACGTTAGTGCTTTTGGCCTGCATCTTGTGGGCTGCAATGATAATACTCATGCAATATTCAATATGATGGCAGGACGGCTCTTCAGCCGGAATCTGCTTTACCCTTCTGCTTCTCAGCAGATAGGAATCTTTTGGCTTTGCCTCATTATTGTCTGCTTTTCAGCAGAAATGTGATTGTTCTATCATTTGCTGCCAGCAACATTGTGTGCCCATTGCTGCTGGCAGCTATAGTTGCCCATTCTATCATACTCATTATTTATTAGGGCAGCCCACAGATCAACCTCACCTCTGACCTTGAACCCAATATTTTCTTGTCCTTATTTCAATGAGTTCCTTCTAAGGGCATATATCTTCTTTCTGAAGGATGTGTTTCAATAATACAGCATAGTCATGTTTGTGTAATATGGGTTCATCTATATACAAAAAGTCATACTCACAGTTACATTTTCAAAAATGACTACATTCTGCTCTCCACCTCTTTGAGAAACAGTTGATTCAACTGCAGGTGGATTCACACTAACCAACGACATCTGCTCGATATGACACTCTTCATCCACTACCTCCTGTCCTTCAGACACAACACTGCATATAGACTTTCTACATGTCTGGTCCCGTTCACCGCTGTCATCTCCTAATGGTAGTGATGCAGGTCCGATGGCATACAGCTCATCATTCACCCCTGAATGGAGAACATTCTCATGTAGAGATGATTCAACAGGTATGTCCAATAGGTTTCCATGTCCAAGGCTCACCTCCCCGAGATTAAGCATACCCACATCGTAGCTGCCCAGTTGTGACTCTGACAGGTCACTGTGTCCAAAGTCATCATCATCAGCAGCAGCTGCAGCACCACCACCTGCATTAGGATCATCACTGTAATGGTGTGGCCTGTAATTCCTGAAGTGAATTGCGTTGTTTGGAGGCCTTATTGAATGATAGCCACTGTTGGCTGTCTGTGAGGGTGGCAAGCGAATAGAGTAGAATAACCCAGGAGGTGAGTTGTGCGGTTGTGTTTCGCCTGTAAGGTTCAAGTAGGTTTCTTGATCAACAAGTGATCTGAAATGATCATCCGTTGGTCGGGTATCTCCTGGAAATAATACACAGACTTCATAAGTGTTGGGTAAATAGATAGATTTTAGGCTTTGTCAGCAAAATTGGATATGGATTAAATATTACGAGAATGGGATGATACAATCAGTATCACAAGCTAGTTAAGTTTCAGCTTCCTTGGGAAGTGATGAAGCAGCAGGTTAAAGATTGTGGACACCGGTTTGACACACCTTTCATCAGTCTCTTGTAACCATGGTAACTACGGTAACTAAAATATGTGTGTGTCTCAGTTACAACTGCTCAACTAATGTACTTGAAACAAACCAGAAACAATTATGACTTAGGCTGGGCATTACCAAAACATCTGTATTACAATCTACAGTAAACTATGGTCATAATGAAATAGGCACCATAACTGAGGTTCGTTTTACACTTGGCTTGGACCAAAAAAGTGTTCTATTTATCAGTTAATTAGATGTGTGTTTGTTGTAAACACAGGTTAATGTACTGAGATACAAGTACAGTAAACTACCGTTATGATGAATGAACTCAAAGGGCTCACTATTTTACTTCCTTATAACTGTAGATCGTAACAAGCATTCAGACTAAAATAGGCTGCAAGTGTTTGGGACAAAAAACAACAGTTCTTTATATCCATCAGTTCGTTATAAATATGTTTGTTGTAACACACAGAGGTACAGACAAGCTGCGTATCTGCATAAATTACGCAAATATTCATGTGAAAACTTCTATTAAGTCTATTCTATACAAGTACGCTTGAATTTTTGTAAATATTCAGTAAATTTGATCTTACATGCGTACACATACAAATGTCAAAAGCTTGGGTACCGGTGGATAGATAAAATAACAAGAAAATTGAGAGGTTCTATTTCACCACATGAACTTGGAAACTTGCAGTCTTTCTTATCGTTTCTCATCTTACAAATAATAATCATATTAACCAACATATATCTAAATATATTTTTACAATTAACAGAAAATGGCAAAATACCGATTTGATTTTGAGTGAGGTGGGTACAATTTATTTGGTTACTCAAAGGAAAATTTGAGATTAACACAAGCGAGTACATAACGCAATGACCCAAAAGGATATCTGTAGCCCTGAACACAGGTTACTGTACTGAGATACAGGTACAGTGAAGTACAGTAATGATGATTCATTGATGAACTCGGAGCAGTCACTATTTTACTTCCTTATATCTGTAATTCATTACAAGCATTCAGACTAAAATATGGAGCAAGAGATTGGGACTAATTTTAGTGTGTTTTAACTGTGGTACTTCAAGAAAACAGTTTGATATATCTGTCAGTTCGTTATAAGTGTGTTCGTTGTCAACATAGTTTACTGTAACAGTATTGTACTGTTAATGTTGGAAGCTAAAGCGTTTGAAACAGGGGTGGAAATAAGTCCAGGTGTTTTTTCTGTCAGGCAAGCAAATTTGTATGTCATGCTGTACCAGTGTCTAGTTGACTTTCCAATGCTTATTTAAAACATCAGCAAGAAAATTGGCCGGTATAGTGGAAAAATTATCAGGGCAAGTGATTTTACATGTGCCACTGTACAAGAGTACACTAGCAATTTTAAAGTTATTTCCACCCCTGTGACAATGACTGCCACTGATTGTCCAAGCAGAACCCATTGCTGCCATTTTGTGGTCATAGATTCAAGGGACATAACATATGAGAAAACTTAATTCTGACTTTTACAATGTTTCAACAATCATTTTAGACAGGAAACATTACTTTAAGTGAATTTTACTCATTATATTTTTTGTCCTCTATTCTGAAACACAGAAAACATGTTGCAATAAGAATTATTTGAAAAGTGTATTGCGGTTTCCCCTTATAAAAATAATACACTGTGGTCTAAATTTTGATAAGCTAGTCTTATTGATTGTGACTTGATGGTGTTAATATAAGTTGCATCAGGCTGTAAATAATCAAGTCTGGACCAGACAGACCGTTGATTGCAGGGCTCGATTTAAGAGATGTTAACCTACTTGCACCAGGTGCAACCTAAGACAAAAAACTACTTGCATCAGCCAAACTCAAATTGCACTGCTTTTACTGCAATATGTAATGAAAGAAATATGCTACTGAATTATTTAGATGTTTTCAATCTCATCATAATGCAACTAATCCCTGGTTTTTTTCCATTCCTCATTAAATTTGTAAGTCTTAATTTGTTTAGTATTGCATGTGACTGGATTTACGTTTGTCTCTAATTTACGTTTCAATTATCATCTGTAGTTTTATATTGAAATGCCACACACATCAGCAATGTCAATGGAATCACTCTTGTTCATATTAGCATGTTTCTCAGTTTCCGAGTTTTGTCAGCTTATAACTTCACTTGATTTCTTCAGGAAAAATATTGTACTGTACCTCTGTATGATGTTAGATTTATCAATTTATTTCTCAAAAATTGGTGCAAGTTAGATTAATACCTAGGTTGCACTTTGTAATATTGGATGCACCAGTGCAAGTATCAAAGCACTCAATTGAGCCCTGGATTGATATAATGAGCAGCATCCTGTCCTCCTGGACATCCTAATTTTTATCTCGGTCATCCAATTCATCTCATCACTTCTTGCAATAATCACATGCCACTAGCATATTCTTACAGAGAATCAAGTTAGACAAGCACTGCTACTAAAACAAAAACCAGTCAGCAAACTGTCTAGTCCTTTCAGACATCTTGTCGAGAGTGTTCTTAGGAAGACATACCAGACTCTGGTGTTGGAAAATGAAGCCTGTCTTCCTCTCGCCCTGCCTCGTCATCATTGTGATTGCTTCCATCACTCATCACGCTGAAAGAACAGATCACATGTGTGGCTGCTAGTACTAATACAGACTTGGTTTTATAATGCTAGCATGCCAGATACAAGTCAGTGAGTATGGTTTTATAATGCTAGCATGCCAGATACCACGAGTCATTGAGGATGGTTTTACACCGCTTTTAGCAATAATCCAACAATATCACAACACGAACATCAGACATGGGCATCACACATTGTACCCATGTGGGGAATCAAACCCCGGGTGTTCGACGTGACGAGCTGACACTTTAACCACTAATCTACCCCACTGCCCCACCAGATACAATGCCTCAGGTTAACATGGGTGTCCTACTCAGCAACTGAGATACTGACTGACAACTGGTAGATGTAAGACTTTCATATCGTGGGTTAGATCACTGACATTACGTACCACTTTGATGATTTGTGCCTGACTCTGAGTGTGGGTTCCGAATCCCGGATGGGACTCAACCAAACACATTTACTAGAATCTGAGAAAGCGTAATCCCAAATATTAGATACATTACATCTGACCACTTTCAAAATGCAGTGTGTATTCATTGTGTTTACATTTGTTCAAGTGTTGTTGTTCACACACTGAACCGATGGGGGGAATCGAACCCAGGTCTTTTGGATGACCAGCAAATGCTTTAACCACAAGGCTACCCCACTGTCCTTTAGGTGATATAATTTTATACATATTATGCATGACAACTACGAGATTGTCCAGAAAGAGGCACAGGATTTACACCATTCATAGACAGTTGATAAATCTGACATCTATTACAGAATGAATATATACAATTTTCACAATATTAACATTGAAATTTTCATAAACATAAATGCAATTGTATTTAACATGCTTAACAAGGATAATGAAAACTGGTTTGCATATTTTTTATCCGGTTTGGAATTCTTCTTAAAGTGTGATCAGTATGGAAGTAATCAAAACAGGCCTACCTTTAATTACGTGGGTAGAGTGAAGGGCAGATCATGAGTTGTAAGGCGGAGGATGAAGATGTCCCGATGGAAGGACGTCGCTACATGATTATGTGCAGGGGGTTGATGTGGTAGAACTGATCTTGCACACATAGGCGAAACTTCTTCAATCCTGAAACAAATATTGCATGCAAATTCTACTGTTCTGTCATTAAGATTAAAAACACTAATTTTGAAAACAACCAAGAAATCACCATGGGAGACGAGGGCGTATTGTTTTGATACAGTGTTTCAGCAAAACTGTTAAGTACATTTAGCAAACAAGTGATTCAACATTTGATGAAGGAACTAATATCTGAAAAAGACAAACTAGTTGAAATCAGGCCAGTTGTTGTTATGCATTTAATCATAAAATACTATATCTATCATGAGTATCTCCAAATATAAAATTGAAACAACTCTCTTTACCAGAACTACTTTGTGTCTACCTCAATTTACTTGTTTGTTGTTTAATTACAGAGTTGTTTAATACGACACTCAACAGTATTCCAGCTAGTTGACGGTTTCCTGCAAATAATTCAGTCTGGATCAGACAATCCAGTGATTAACATAGCAAGCACTGATCTGTGCAGTTGGGATATGGTGACATGTGTCAACCAAGTCAGCGAGTATATTCACCCAATCCTGTTAGTTCCTACGACAGGGATTACTTCTTTAATGAAGACACTAGTTCACTAGAAAAAGACACTGGGTGCCATTAAAATGCTTCATTACTGGACACACAGACCCTCTTCACAGTATAGAAACATGTTGACCTTCTTCATTGTATCAGATCACATCGATCTACTGCAGGAATTACTTCGAGGCAGGTCAGGGAAATGGACAATCAAAGCTACAGATAACCTTTTGGGTCATTGAGTTATGTACTCGCTTGTGTTCATCTCAATTGGGTATCCTAATTTTCCTTTGAGTAACCAAATAAATTGTACTCACCTCACTCAAACTCAATTGGGTATTTTGACATTTTCCATTAATTTAAAAAATATAATAAAGTTTAAATGTTAGTGTTTGTGATTTACATTTGATCTGTAATATGAGAAACAATAAGAAAGACTGCAAGTTGTCAAGTTCATGTCCTGAAATAGAACCTCTCAATATACCTCAGTTACCTTATCTATCCACCGGTACGCAAGCTAAGATTTGACATTTTTGTGTGTACACATGTAAGATCACATTTATTGAGTATTTACTAAAATTCAAGCGTACTTGTACGCAATAGACTTAAAATGAATTGAGTTTTCACATAAATATTTTCGTAATTTACACAGATACGCAGCTTATCTGTACCTCTGGGACAATGTAATGGGGTTGGGGGCACTGCAAAAAGAATAGTTGAATTGTCTGTCAAGCAAGGCAAAACTAGAACAGAGGATTCTAAAGACTTCTATGCATGGGGACAAAAGTTTTCCTTGAGTGCAAAGTACATGTTTGTAACCTCTGAATAAGCATGGAATGAAATCACACAGATGAACAAGAAGATGATTCCGACTAAAGGAACCATGAAGTTATAATGCAATAGTCACTGTTTGGGCAGAAGTCATCAAAAGCATTTCATGCTACTTTAATCTTTGTCTGTCTGAAGATTACCACAGTGATTGGATAATAGCTGATCTGCTGAAAACCTGACCTGCTGAAAACCTGACCTGCTGAAAACCTGATCTGCTGAAAACATGATCTGCTGAAAACATGACCTGCTGAAAACATGTTCTGCTGAAAACATGACCTGCTGAAAACATGATCTGCTGAAAACATGATCTGCTGAAAAAAATGAAGCTGTCATTCCAATCCCCAATGAAACTTGTCATGACATCACAGAAAGTGATGTTGAAGCAAACAGTGGTATGACAAGAACAACCAACAAGGGAAGCTTAAAGGAGGCGTGAGAGTGCAGGGGCGGAATCAGCTTCTTGAAAAGGGGGGTGGGGTGCACACTCTTGAGAAAGTGGGGGTGCACATTTCATTTTCAGAAGAGTTTCAATGGTCATTTAATAAACTTTCAGGACAAAAGTGGGGTGCGCACCTCTGCACCCCACCCCAACTTCCCTCTGGATCAGCCTATGGAGTCAGCCTAAAACGCGTTGCGGGGGACAACAAGATGGATATGCCCTCTGAAAGAAAGTTCTGAGAAAATACTTGCCAAAGCTCATCTGATTGCCAGAGGATTCTAAGAAATAGAGTAAAGAAATCTGCCAAAAGATTCTCCAACATGTTCAACAGAATCTTTACTGCTGTTATTAGCCATTATGGCACAACAGAAATGGACACCATGCTCCATAGACATCAAGACAGCATTCTTACAGGGCTCAACTTTAACCAGAGATGTTTTCCTTCGACCCCCAAGGGAAGCTCATGTGAAAGGAGTCCTGTGGAAACTACAGAAATGTGTGTATGGCTTGGCAGATGCGTCACTATATTGGCATAACAGGATCTGTGAAGTTTTGCAGTCTAGTGGGGCAAGAATATCTAAAGTTGACCCCACAGTGTTCTATTTCATATCAAATGGAAATCTACAAGGTGTGCTTGCTAGCCATGTGGATGATTTTGTTTGGGGCGGTACTTTAGAGTTTGAAGAAACTGTCATTGCATCAATTAGAGAGTCGTTCAATGTTGGACGTGAAGAAGAGAGCACCTTCAAGTATGTCGGCATGACTTGCGTCAACATGACTGCGTGAGAAACCTAACTCGTCTGAACATAGATAAGGATGGGATGTCAAAGAAAGAAGCACTCCTGAGCACGTCTGAACTTGAGATGTTCAGATCAAAGGTTGGACAGATCTTATCGATAGCATGACAGAGCAGACCAGACATAGTTCTTGATGTATTTACTGTCGAGTAAAAGCACATGGCGTGCAAAGATGTTTTGTGTTGGTGAACTGAATTAAAACCAATTAACTATACAGTCAATTCAGACATGAGACTTTGCAGGGTCAGGTCTTGACTGTGCATACCAGGGTATGAAACTCACAAAAAATTCAGCCAGACCACAGGGCTGGTTAGATGTAAAACTTGCCAGCCCTGATCAAAACTTACCTGCCCACAAAATATCTTCATACATGTCTAAATTTAAACCTGACAGGTGAATTTGAGAATCTGGCAGTCTGTGTTGAAAATAACACGTCCTGGGCGGTTGGGCAGGCAGGTATTTTGAACGCTGTATACATACAAGGTACAAAGGACCACATCGTGGTTCCCGGCTAGGGTACGCACAGTGGGTATTCAAATGTACATGAGAACAGGATGTTCCATACAAGGTACAAAGGACCACATCGTGGTTCCCGGCTAGGGTACGCACAGTGGGTATTCAAATGTACATGAGAACAGGATGTTGCATACAAGGTACAAAGGACCACATCGTGGTTCCCGGCTAGGGTACGCACAGTGGGTATTTAAATGTACATGAGAACAGGATGTTCCATACAAGGTACAAAGGACCACATCGTGGTTCCCGGCTAGGGTACGCACAGTGGGTATTCAAATGTACATGAGAACAGGATGTTGCATACAAGGTACAAAGGACCACATCGTGGTTCCCGGCTAGGGTACGCACAGTGGGTATTCAAATGTACATGAGAACAGGATGTTGCATACAAGGTACAAAGGACCACATCGTGGTTCCCGGCTAGGGTATGCACAGTGGGTATTTAAATGTACATGAGAATAGGATGTTGCATACAAGGTACAAAGGACCACATCGTGGTTCCCGGCTAGGGTATGCACAGTGGGTATTTAAATGTACATGAGAATAGGATGTTGCATCTTTGCAACAACCCATTTTTTACTGTACAGTTTGCACACTTTATTTTCATGAGAATTTCAGTGGTCACTTAATAAACTTTCAGGACAAACCTATGACTGACAGATTTTTAATACTTTTTGGTACGGCAGGATATCGCAATCTGAAAGGCGACAGTAAATCATCCCGATAAAGAGGATGAATGAATGTCACATCATAAATATAGTACTGTAGTTAAAGGGGCACTGATCCAGAGCAATTTCCGTGGACTGGTTGTTGCTTTTGTTATTGTTTTGCTTCCGTGAGTACCCGGATGATATCCCAGAATTTTGACTGGTTCGTGACCTCTGATGCACCACCCGCATGCGCATGCGCAATTGATAGTATAAGTATAGACTGATCGACAAAGATGAAATCTCTTTTACTCGATAATATTTCCATCTTCATTATTTGGATAACAAATGAAAACATTTTGGTAAAAAATGTTAGAACTGAAACATAACAAAGTCAATGTACATCTTTATATTTTGTCTTATAATCCTAATTAGTTTATTATCATATTTGTATTCATTTTGAAACTTAATGAAATGAACACGATCTGCTTATTAGTTTAGTTTACGCCGCTTTTAGCAATACAGCAATATTATGGCGGGGTACACCAGAAATGGGCTTCACATATTACACCCATGTGGGCTTATACTTAGTGAATTTATAACATGACTGTAATATCTAGACATTTTATCGACTGCCAATGGGAATCATATTTCACACACACACACACACGCCCTAAGTGAGACCTAGTGTATGTTGTCTGTCTCATTACACTTCATGCTGAAATAAAAATGATTCTGTTGAATGCTATAACAAATGAATATGAACAAAATGCAAATATCGAAATTAAAACAGACTAAAGTTTTGCAAAAATATCAGGCTATTACCTTGTCCGAGGAATGTATCCATCAATATCCACATAAAGGAATGAGATGCCATTCATCTGCAGCTGACAAAGAATCCTGTTCCATGTCATGTGTCTCTTAACAGTCTTATATGCGATAAAGTGATCTATCATTTCAGGTTTTTCACATTGTATAGTCCCATTGGTCACCCAAGATAGCACACCTGACAACTAATTGCATGATGTCCGCTATTCTTTAAAAAAAGTAATTTAGTTTGCCAATAATGAGCAATCAATCAATGTATTGGCGGTTAATCCTTTGAAGGAAGGACGTTGTTTTTACACAGGCACTTTACGACAGGGTGTATTCAGTATAGATTAGTAAATCTACATGCATAAACAGGGAGGTACTGCCTATCTTTTGACAAATCCCCTGTGCAAGATAAAAGCAATTAATCAAACAGCGTGTTATCGGTTAATCCTT